CCACACACAGTCTCTCTCTCCTGCCACGGAAGTTCTGTGAACAATCCCTTTGGAACGGCTGTGGAAAGAGTCCCAGAAATGTGACAGAATGCCAAGCTTTTCTCATGAGGAGAAAAAAAAAACAGGACAGGAGTTTGCAGAATGTGCCTCCGTTACTTGAAAAGTACTTGCAGCTCAACGCATTCTTCTGTAGGCTGGCGAAGAGCTCTGTGTGGTTCGAAAGCTTGTCTCCTTCATCAACAGCTCTTGCTCTAGGAGAAAAGGTTCCCTCCCCTACCTTGTCTCTCTAAAAGCATTAACTGTTTTTTTCAAGAGAAAGCCAATGTCTACCACTTCCTCCCTTCTTGTGCGATAGACATGGTCACATTTTTTCAGTTGGGGTCACTAATCAGAAACTGCTGTTAAATGCGCAAAGCAAACAAACCAAAAAATGAGGCTTTTCTTGGCTCTTGGGTGATACAACCGTAAGTGGTTACAAAAGCCAAGAGGGAGTTCTGCTAGCAGTATCCCTGTGTTAATTTTTTTTCTGTTGCAGCATGAATGTATACGGTATTCATTGCTAAGCATACGTGTCTTAAATGTGCTCAGATAAAGGGATGTTTTGCTCTCATTAACTGTCTCCACCAATGTTTGATTTCAGGTCTGCATGCTGAAAAAATCCAAACAGAAGCAGAAAAAAACTGGAAGCTTGAAAGAGACAAGAACGGAAAACGTATCCGTCTCTGAAGCGGGACATTAAATGGAGCAGGTCTTTATGGAACAAAAGCCGCTCACTTACTGTAGAAGAAAGGAGCTTGCATGGCGTAGCTTTGTGCAGGGAGTTGGTAAAGACGGGTTTCTAATGAGCCTGCCCTTTATTCCATGTTAATAGTACTGTGTTCTGCCTGTTTTGTTACATGATTGTGCCTCGTTAGGTGGCTGGCGCACACCTGCTTGTATGCCACTTGTTTCATTTGAAATGTTTGCCTTTGGTAGCCTTCTGTAAGCTGTTGCCCAATTTGTGGTTTGTGCTGCTAGACAACATTGCTGTTTACCCTGTGGAGCGCCTCACTCTTGTTTTGGCAACATTTTCATTTTGTGGAGAAATGTCTAGCCTCTCTGTGACGTGCTCCCTCATTGCCAGGTTGTGTTCAGCTAGCCCCGACCATGTCTTCCAACATACCGAACGGTAGGAGCGCATCTCGTTCCCGTTGTGCTGCGCACTTCTTCAGTGAGGCCAAACAATATGACTGGAGGCCACCCTGCTTGAGACCACGTTATTTGAGATGACTCAACGTAGCGATAACGATCCCTTCATTAAGATGCCACGGACGCAGGAGAAAAATTGTGCGGAACCATACCAGTCCAAACGGTTAAGACCGTATCGTTTCAACATGGTTTACCTGGACCAGTGAATGGGGGAAAAAATGTTTTAAACTTACGAAATGGTCCAGCCTCTTCCAGAGTCACCAAATGCTGTTGAAGGCTTGTTGAATTTCAGCAGCTATCTCTTGAGTAAATGGAGGCAAAATTACCTCAGTAATATATGTGGACAACAGACCTCTTGGGCTCTTCGTTTTCCTCCCCTGCTAGGTGTTCTGTCTTGGGTGACTTCATACTCCTCCGTACATCCTCATTTGTCTTAGTTCAAATTCATTTTCTTAAATCCAGTGTGTAATGTATTGTGACTGCGCCTTTCCACACAAGCTCTGGTTGCTCATTCTGGTAAAAAGATCAGGGGAGTTTCAAAACCAGGTGTTTGTACTTGCTGCCCTGCCCCAGGGCTAACGAGCTGAAGGTTGGTAGAACACTACATCTGTTGCCCACAGCCACTGTCTCATGGGCTTTTCTCACTACTCCTTCCCTTTGCATCGCTGTCCGCTCTCCGGGGGTCTCTGGCGATCGAAGTCAGGCGGAAATGAATGGGCTTGAGGAGCAGTGTCAAAGATGCCCAACAACTGAGGTAGAAGGAACTTGCACAGTCTCACCCCACACCGGCACAGGAGACTGATGTCTTTCGGCCTTGTGTCCCACAAATCTTGACCAATGGAACTGCTCCCAGCTGTGTCCCTATGAACGTGAGTCCCCCTAGCAGACGACTGGGCGTGCTTACCCTCGGCTGTCGAAAGAACTGATGAAATACATTATAGCCGCCTCTGCTTGCGGGGGATCAGCAAATCGGAGAAGAACAGTGAGAAAGAACTGATGAAATACATTATAGCCACCTCTGCTTGCTGGGGGTCAGCAAATCGGAGAAGAACAGTGGCCACACCACCAGCAATTGGCAGTGTGGGCCTCAGTCCCGCAAGCAGAAGCCCTGAAAAGACTCTTCCTGGCAGTGTTTGTGGAACGGACCAGTGAAGCCATGTGCCATGTAAGGGCCGCCTCCGGGATGGCATTCTGTAGACCGTGAAACTTGATTACTTGATGCCTGTGTTCTTGCCTGACCTCCCCTTTCCCTGGCGTCCTCAGTAAGTGGTTCCAAGCCAGCTGTTGTTTTCTCTACACGCCTTTGGAAGTGGCTGTGGCAAGGGTTGCTTTGATAACCACCTTACTGCCAGGGACAGGGCTGAAACTCCAGTGCCAACGTGGCTTGGTCTAACAGCAGTTTCTACCATCCGTCACCAGGAAATGTTTTTCACTCGCTTATGGGACCGCTGCTCCTCTCCCTCACCTGTCCTCACCTTAAGAGAGCTGAAAGACCCCGTCCCTTCTTGTTCAACCTCGGCACACGATTTCTGCTGTGCGCGCGGTACCTCCGTGCCGGTGGTGTAGATCTTCCACGTGGATCTTTTCGAACAGTCTCTCCACATCAGTGCGTGGAAATTGGCATGGGCATGAAAAGCAGGCGGCTTCAGCTCAGCTTAAACGTGGACACTGGAAGGAGGAAACCACACGGTATTTCACACTATCTGCTCGCGCAGGGTGATGTGACCGAACTAAGGAAATACATCGGTGCTGATGGCTGCCCACCGCCAGGGATGCTGCTTGTTGATTACGTAATTGAGAGACGGATTCTGTGATCTCTGGTGCCAACCTAGCCAGGAAGAGGAACGTTTTTGTCATCTACAGACTCTACCTGATGTTTGTGCAAGTGGAATAGAAACGTCCTTGTGCCCAGAGTAAGCAAGCCACCTTCAAAACTGAGAAATCGATGGCGGAACTATTTTTTAAACTGTTTCAAGTGCAGGTATTGCAAAAGGCTAAGATGCTAGGAGCTGCCACTTTGTTTTCATCAACATTGCACACGCTGGGAGGGGCGGGGAGATGGGATTGGGTTAATCATGCACCGGCTTTGTGTTCAGATGAATTACTTGGAGGCTTCCCTGCAGAAAGGCGCAAGTTGCTTATAAGTGGCGTTGAACATGTGTAACAGCTGATCACTAGATCCTGTGCAAATCCAGTGAGAGAAGGCAACAGAATTGAATGTTGATGTTCAAGTGCTCGGCTCATCCGCTCTTAGGGGAGAATGTTGTACAATGTGATAATTGATAATGAACTTACAGCTGTCCCTGGGCCAATGCATAAAATAGCATCAAGAAATTTGAAGCTAGGAAGTGAGGAAATGTGGTGCAGAGAGCACAGGAATAGCATTGGGAGGGAGGTGAAACCCTAGCGAGGCTGTGAGGTCCTTGTAGACTCATAGGGAGACATACCCCAAGCTATCCCAGGCTCTTCCCTGATCACCTTCTCTGCAAGCCTAGGGGTAGGCTTGTATTAGGCCTCTATCTCTGGGTTTTCCAGCCCTTGTCAGTGGGGGAGGGGTTGCTAAAAGTGCGACTTCGTTAGCTCCAGTGTCCACCCCAGGTAAAATGCCCGTTTCAAGTAGAGAAGAGCATGTGTCTGGATGTTAGTGAGTAGTACAGGGAGAGGACAAAGTATCTGCTCTGAGTTTGAGCCCACTTCAGAACCTCTGGCTTTTCTGCTTGTAACTTGCTCCCCCAGAGGCTTTCCAACACTTATGGTCTGGTTTAGTGCCAAGTAAGCTTCCACTTGGGGATGCCTTATCAAAGTTGATTTTAGGGACCTTCCACTTTGCCAAAAGCTATTAAGCTGTCGGTGCTAATTGACCGTCTGGTCACAGTATGTCGTGGGGTGGAGTTAGCTGGGTGACTGACTACCTTCTGTCGTCATTTGCTTCTGATCCTTGTTGATAACACACAAGTTGTCAGGCGGTCATTGGCCAATACGCTGCCCTAGAGATTCCCGATGCAAACCTCATGGATCTAAGATGATACACTGATTATGAAATCCTGCAGTGAGTTTAGAATGCAGCCTCAGCCTGTATCTGTACATCTTCCTGGAGATTTAAATCAGGCCCTGGATATTAAAATAAACCCCAGCTCTACATGTGTCATACATTTCATAAAGGACTTAGGCAATCCTCTTTGTAGTCCCAAGACTAAATAATAAATGAAACTCTTATGAGTGACAATTGACTCATTAATCCTTCATATCCTGTACATGCTTATTGTGTAAGTGGGGTTTTTTGAAAGAGTACCTTAACTACTCAATCCACTTTCTAGGTGGATATTTGAATGGCAGATGTGTTCATGCATGTGTCGTGTTTATCCAGTGGGCCAGCCCTGTGAGGTGTAAATACAGTCATTGCTAAGTGTAAAACAAAATTAAACTACTGTAGCAGATGTATATACCTGGGGTAAATTGCTGAAAACGGTAAGGTTGGACAATGGTGAACCTAGAGCAGAGTGCAAAATGCTTTAAAACAGCCCATAGCATTGGCCGATCCTCTGTGTAGTTGTAACTGAGCACTGTGGATGTGAGATGGAACATTGATCGTTCCACGGTAAGTTTTTTGATACGTGCAGAATTGCGACCTGGAGATCAGTTCTTTCGGTTGACAACCCCACACAGCTTTTCTGCTCCCTCTGGGTCTGTGCGCCTCGGCCGTCCTCTGGGGCCTGTCTTCTCCGCCCTTCTGCTGAAACAGCTCACAAGGGGGTGCTAACCAGTGCCGATTCTGATGGTGCTGTCTGTGCTCACCACGTGTCTGCTAGCAGCTGGTCTGAGACCACTCCCTTGTTCCCATTCAAGTCCCTGAACAGCCACGAAATGCAAAGACCTTCAGTTACTACTGAAATGGCTGAGAGCCATAGTGGGCACTTTGGCTCATTTGCAAACCTAGATCCCATCTGGCGGGTGTTGTTATTATTTTACATACACTTTTGCACTTGTGTAAATGCAGAATAGACCTTGTTTGGCGTAGGGCAGAACTACCTTTTTGTTTTTGTAGTGTAAATAAGGAATACCTTTTTGCAGACTTGAGATGCACTTTCAGGTTAAAATACAAGTCGGCAGAATGCCATTTACAATTCTAGCTTTTCTTGTGATGTAACATTTGCTTGCATCCATGTACGCTTACATTACTGTACCCTTCTAATGCCGCATTAGGGAAGGAGTAGAAACTGCAACGTTTTTGCAATACGTATTTATATCTAACTGACTGAAAGTTCATTTAAACTTTAAACAATTCTAAATTGGCTGCTATTTCTATGAATTAGGTTTAAGAGACTAATTTTTATAATGCATGAGATTGATTTTAAATTTATTTATTATGTTAACAGCTAGTTAATATGACACACAGCGTGTGTGATAAGACGTCCAACTGAGAGCCCTTCACTTCTTTGACCTCTGTGCTTTTACACTGACCAATGTAATGGCATTACATGGAATGAAATGGTTTTAACACAATTTATTAAAATAGTTTCTAAGTATATGACTAGACTAGCAGTTTCAATGTTTACAAAATGGTGACTATTGATTGTATGTTCCCCCATGAGCTTTTCGCACAGTACACCGTTTTATGTTTTGGAAGCATTGTTTCTACTTTCCATGACAAGGAATGGAATGGTTACCTTTATAATTTGGGCTCTTAAGTAACCCCTCGGAAAGATTTAAGTATGGATTTTCACTTTTCTGCTGGGAACGGATTGAACTGACTTTGTACTTGATAAAAGTATTAGATGGGACATTTCTTCCTAAAGGACAAGTTTATTTTTGATAACTTATAAGTTGGTTTTATAAACATTTCAGCGGTGTTGGAAAAGTTGGCCTGAGGTCTTGAAACAAATGTATATCATGATTTAAAAATGTATTCCAAAGCAGCTAAGCATTTTTTTCTGTGTAAGGCAGGGAAATGATACTTTCACTCCCCTTAATTCTGTTCTGTGGTTAGCAACACCTTTGTAGCATGTTTAAGACACGTAGCTTATCTGTTCAGAGGAAATTTTTTCCCCTCTGAAGACGTGGCTTCATTTATCTTCAGTTGATGCCTTATTGTGCTAATCGCCTTGACTTTTTGCACTTCTGTTGTAGCAGTTCAGAAATACACACCTGTTTAAGAGGCTTAACTTTCCGTTAAGCCTCATTTGGCCACAAAATTGTAACAAGTCTGGTTATTGCCTTCTCTGCCTAAATCAAATGTGCCGTACAGCCATCCTTTGCTACCAAAGGCAGCTGTCACTTGGGCCAAATGTACACCGGTAAGGGATGCAGAATCCTTCATCGGGAAAATGCTGCTCCTGCAATTTGCTCCCCTCCCGTTATGCTTTTAAGCTGGCCAAAAGGGAGTAGCGTGAGGTGCCAGTATTAACGATAAGCAAATAGAGGTGCTTGGAAAATCGAAACCTATCTACTTCAAAGCAAAATCCTGTGAGCTCTGTGTCATAGACATAGCTGGCTCACTTTGGCTTTTCGAAAGTGCTCAGAGAAAATTTTCAATTGGAAAGGGCTGAGAGAGAGTAAGACACCTGGGTGAAGCTGTAGGGGGCATGGGAGATGTTGATCTCAAAATCCGAGAAGCCAGGATTGTTTTGTTAGCTTGATTACCGTCTTGTCCACAAAAGTTCCATGTGGCAAATTCTCATTACCTGAGTAATTGTCTTAAACTAGTCCAAGCAGCCAATTTCATTGGGCCAGCTCTTTAAATAAGATGCACACATTTTAAAAACAAGGTACTTCATGATGTCTTGCAGCATTTCTTGTGACTGTTGTAACATGTTGGGCCAAGTGGGTTACACCAACAAACTAAGCTAAACTGACCTTGGAATAGTTCAGCTTGTGTGCAGCGTTTTATTCTTTGTGCTTCTGCCTAATAATTCTTAGAAACAATCTGCAGAAAGTGTAACCATTAATGTGGTTGAATGCTATTTCTTTGCTGTGTGCCTCAAACAAATAAAGCATATCACACTCGTTCACTTGTGGTTTCATCTTAAAGCAGGGTTTTCATGGTATAACTAGTTTCTAGTTTTCTGCCTTGCAGACCACTGTGCTGGTAACCTATCTCTATGAATTAGTGTTGCTAAAATGTAATAGCTAAAAAAAAAAAAAAGAGGTGGACTTTTCTTTTATGTTTAAACTCAGATTCTGTTCTTAGACTAATTCTGTATATATTTGGTAATATGGTTTGGTGTGTGTACTTTTGACTGTATATTTTGCACTGATTGAAATTCTGTATTCTAAGTATAATTTGTGAATACCAGAGATCTATAACTAGAATTTATGTCCGTGACAAATATAATTGGTAATTTCTCTTATGCTCTGCATGTGTCGGTGTGTGTGTTGGGTAACGTGTTCTTCTTACAGACCGTGAGGGATGTTTCGGCAAAGAGCAAACACGTGTGCTTTGTTCCACTCGTTTTCCAGATGCTGCTTGATTGAGCATTGTATAGGTCAAGGGTCCAGGGATACCTAGTATTCAGCATAACACAAGAACACTCATAGTGACCATCAAGTGAGGTCCCCTCCCCCCGTTGCCCATTCCTGCCTTCTGGCCATTGGAGGGTAGGAACACCCAGAGCATGGTTTTGCATCACTGTGCATCTTAGCTAAAATCCATTGATGGATCTGTCTTCCAGGAACTTACCTAATGTGCCATCATCATGGCTCTTGCAGTTGGTGCCCTTCCTGAATGTCTGTGTCGATGCTTACACACTGCTGTGGTGGGTGCCATAAAAATAATTGCACCTCTGGTCTGCATTGCAGCTCCTGGTGCTTGCTAGTGGGTTGCCTGAGGGATTAGCTAGTTTCCAGTTTTTTTCTGCACCTTAGACATTGCTTTTTTGGTTGTATTTTATTGAACGTATCTTTTGCACCCACTTTTTTTAGAAAGTGTAGCTGGTTTTGGCTTGATTTGATAGCACACTTGCTGGTATTGGGGTTTCCTTAAGCTTGTTGTTATCCCTCTTTTGGATAAGTTTAACAACAGTCCAGATTTTCAAACTTAGGTTCACACAATTGCTGTAGATATTTATACACTGAGCTTGGAAATATTGTGAATGGTCTTTTCATACTTGTCCCGTTTGACACGAGATGAAGTGATGCTTTTTTTGGAAGGAGTGTTTCCGAGCTTGTCTGGTGTATTCCCAGCCTTGAGAATATTTTTTATGCTTAAAATAAAGTGTGTCCAGAACCGTTTTTTAAAAGCACCGTTTATTAAATTGCACTGTTGGAAGAGAGAAAACAATCCTGTAGCAAGAGCTTTGTGATCGGGGTTGAGGAATGGTTTCTGTCGGACTTTATTAGGTGTTTAGTGCCACACTCGCAGAGCTGACAAACTAAAGCCTGCTGGTCGGACAACTTCAGTCTGTTCTTCTGAAGCACTTTAAATGTATCCCCTTGAATCTTAAGCTCTGACCTACTTACGCCTCTAAAGAGTGTCCCCTTCATTCCCCTGGTATTTTAGCATCTAATGGGAACATAGGGCTTTGTCTAAATGAGCAGTTATTGTCAGCAATAATGTTTGTCATGCAGGGGTGTGAAAAAACACCTCCCTGACTGACATCAATTTTGCCAACTGCACTGATGTGATGTCACTGGGAGAGTGTCACCTGACAACATGGCTACCACCATTCATTGCGGATGACTTAATTATACTGGCAGAAGAGCGGCTACATAGGAGACTTTAAAGCTGCTGCCTATCAGGCAACCAGACAAACCAATAAATGGTGATCAGCTAGTAAGAGAGAGCACAGAGAGACCAGTGTAGCCTAAATCCTCAGCTGAATCTCAGTCTGTGTGTTGCAGGAAGGCAGGAAACAGGAACGGGTTACCAATGTGTTGGATTTAATTTGCAGCACGGCACGAGAGAAATCACGCCTGCTTTAGAACCATTCACTCCCTGCACTACAAGGAAGAGCTACGAGCATCAAAACTCACTCAGTGCTAAGTTCCAAAGGACTTCAAGCCCTTTGTTCATGTCAGAGCAGGACAAACGGGTCCTATTGTTTGCAAGTGCATCAAAACTCACTCAGTGCTAAGTTCCGAAGGACCTCAAGCCCTTTGTTCATGTCAGAGCAAGACAAATGGGTCCTATTGTTTGCAAGTTCTGAGTACAGCACGTGATCCGCTAGCTTCTGACAAGCACTGTCACAGATGGCATGTCAGCACTGACAGGCCACCAGTGGGAATTAGCATCCCAACTTGGACAGCTGGACTCGGCTTGTAGTTCCTTGCCAGAGAACTGCAGCATGGGTCTTAGACCTCAACCCCTTTTGGTTGGTGGATCAGCAGCAAAACTGATGCGAGTTGTGTTAATTTCGCTCACCAGCTGCTGTGACCTGGGAATCTTATTTCCTGTTGGAAACACCCCCTGTTGGGATCCCCAATCCAAAAACTCCTAAGAATTTCCTCGGCCCTGGAAACTCCAAGAAAGTTTGTTCCATCTCAGATTGGACTGAGCCTAGTTGCTGGAAATGGCAGTTTCCCACGAGTCGAGTTTCAGTCATTGGTCCCTGATCATTCTAGGAAGCCCCTGGGGCTCAAGGAGTTCAGAGGTAGGCTGGCTCGTTTGTTCAGCTGTACCTGTTAGAAGGGAGTGAAGGCGGGAGTAATGAATTCCGCATCTCTGACCGTGCAGCAGGCAAGGGGCTGGGGGCAGGAGGAGGGTCTAGAACCCAGTAGTGTAACGTGCTGATCCTGAATCTCGCTTTTGGGGACCTTTCCGGCTTTCGGGGACCTTTCTGCCTATGCAACAGGTGCTTAAATAGCAGGCTTTCCTGCGCTTGGCTACAGGTAAAGCCGTTGGCAGGCGATTTCACAAGCATGCGCTGTGCCCAGGGTGGCGGTCTTAGCGAATACTGAACAAAACACAGCTGCCAGCAGCAGGCACAGGTGAAACCCACCTTCCCAGGTTCCACCACCTCCATTCCTCGACGGAAGTTCACTCCCAGGGCCAACGGGCTGTCGGATTTGCCGTACCAATAAAAACCATGGACCTTCTAGACCAGATACTGGCACCAGATACTTCAGAGGAAGATGCAGGATAGGTACAGACAAACTCTCCTTCCTGCCCCATGATCTCACACCAACCTGTGGTCCTTAAAAAAACTGCCTTAAATTCTGAAACATGAGGTTTCTCTCCCTGGCCATACGCTAGTGTTGCCATTGCAACCCAGTCTTCTCTTCAGGGCTGTCCATCCGTCCTTGGTTCTTTTAATCACGTTAGCGAGATCTGTCTAGTGCAAATGCCCCCTCCCGTGTGTCATGTCCTCAAGTGTGGCTCAGGCTCTGGTAGGGCCCAACAGAGACCCCCAGGGACAGGCCATCAGCTTGGTCCAGCCCTTCTGTCAGCAAACTTGGAGCAGCATTTGTGTTGCAAGAGCAAATATGCATCGGGCTCAGGGCCCCGGCGTACCCACTGAATGCACCGGTGTGACTCGCTTTCCCACAGCAATTAGTTCGCTAGTCCCAGGACGCTCGTGTACCATCATCAACAGGATGTTTTAAGCTTCAGGGATTGTTGCTTCAGCTCCCGTGGTGTTGATGGAGGCAGCACTGGCTGCTTCGGCACGGAGTCTCTTGTAGTCGGTGTGGAAGAAGATCACATAGAAGCAGGCGACAAAACTACACACTCCAGCCAACACCAGGGTGGAGACTGTAGAGAGAGAAATAACCACGTTAGAAAGTGACTGGCCGTCTCCGTCTGCTTCTACTCTAAATCTAGGAGGTTGTTTTCTAGAAACGATGCAGAATCAAGTCCTCATCTATTGGCTCAATCTCTAAAATCCGGGACACTGTGGTCCAGCAATATCTGGATATTGCTGGACCAGAGAGCCCTGGCTGGCCAGATTCAGGGCTGGGCTGGCGGTGGGGAGCACAGCCCCGGCAGGGCTGGGGGCAGCAGGGCCAGTAATGGGAAGCCTTGACCTCCTCTGTCTGGTGAACTCTGTGGTTCGGGACCGCTCAGGCCCCAAGGGCACCAGACCAGGGAGGTCCCACCTGCATGTCATTTAAAATCCTGTCCCACTAACAGTACAAGAAAGGTAAGTCCCGTGGGCCGGTCGCACAGGTCGGGGGGCCGGTTGCGCAGGTCGGAGGGCCGCTGGCTGTGCGGCAGAGGCCAGGACTCCTCTTCCAGCAGGACTCTGCCCCAGGGCCCAGTGAAGAACTCTGGCCACGGGCCGCGTGGGGGCCAGGCTAGACACACCAGTGCATGGTAAGAAAAGGGGGCACTTACTTGTCCAGTCTAAGGCCCCCCCTTCCGCAGTGTCGCAGGTGGAGAACGGGGCTGCGGTGGTCGGCACTGTGAGGGCTTGCAGCAGCAGCATCAGCACCGCGCCCTGGATCTGGCTACACAGAGAGAAACCTGCAGTAAGACACTTTCCTAGGCTTGAGTCCTCGGGACCCCAGCTAGCCCAGCCCCGCCTCCTTCCAACGTTTCCCCTGGCACAGCGAAGTGCCCATCTGTAACGGGGGAGGGGACCAGCCACGATGAATTCCCCAAGGGCCTTTGGTCCCCTTGTCTCGTACACTGGGGATGCTCTTAGCTGGGCTAAGCCTTCAGTTTGGGTGTAGCGTGGCCACCCGCCCGGTCAGAATGTAGGGATGTCCAATCCCATCCCCTCCGTTCACGGGCTAAATGCTGCCTTTCGCCCGGGGAGCCACTTAAACGGGATCCCGCTGGTATCTGTAAACTGAGCACTGCCCGCCCCCAGGAGAGAAGCACCTGCCTCGAGAGCCCATCGCCCAAGACGCAGCTCGCGCCAGCGGAGGGAAGCGCTCCAGCCCCAGGTGAGCAAACAGGTGGAAGAACAAACCGCGATTGACCTGCCACAGGGGCTCCCTACTTCCGTCTGTCCTAGAGGAGTTTTTTGGCCAAATCTGGGCCCGGGAGAGAAGAGTAGGTGGCATGTTCCAAGAGGAACGGCTGAGAGAGAACGCCCCCAGCATAAGTCCTAGAGCAGAATTTTTTGAAGGCCGCCCCGTCGTGATTTCACAATGGTCAGGGATGGAGAATCCACCGGACAGTGACTGACGTATTTTGTCTTTCCAGTCAGAACTTGTCCGGCTTCCTCTTCCCGCCGCTGGGTTGGGTTCCACAAGAGGTAGAACTTGCCCCGGTGGCGGGATGCTACCAGGTTGGGGCATCGTGGTCTCCAGAGGTTTCCAAGCTAGCTGGTCAGAGGGGCTGCCTCTCTTAAGTCACACGGAGCAGGACTGCTCCTGAGCCCCCACTTGGCTGGTCTTGGCCCCCTCCCATGCACCAGTCCCACCGCTCACTTCCCGCCTGGCAGCAGCTCCTTTGAACAGCCCCGTCCGGCAAAAGGACACTCTGATGGGCGGGTGAAGTGAGTCCATTTTGCAGGGCAGCTGGTGTCCTTTTCCCTTCCCCTCAGCCGGCGTGCTCACAGGGGCCCCCGGCCTTGGCTGTAGGTCACCCAGGTGGCGGGGCGGGTAACGGGACTAGAACGTGGCGCCCTGCTGGTCTTTATGGGCGAGACGCTGACGCCGGCGGTGGAGCTACGTCCGGGTGAATCAAACCCGGGTGAGTCAACTTACCCTGACACAAAAACGAGGCCTGTGGATGTTCCCTCTCCCACCGGGTAGGAGCATTCCACCGCGAGCTCCATAGCAACGGGGTAGACGGAAAAGCCAAAGAAGCCGAACAGGGAGCTGGTGAGAGCCAGGGGGACGGTCTGATTCCTGAACCGGGACATCTGCAGGGGAGAGAGTATCACAGCCCGACATCAGCATGGCTGCTCGGCAACACGACATGACGTTTCGAGTCAGCGTCAGCCAGGCACCCGAATCGAGGTATTTTTATCATTTCTCTTACAGCTACACGCGTCACTGAAGCCCTCAAATGCCACTTGTTTGCAAGAAACTGAGTGTTAGGGGACGGAGATATGTTTGCTTGTGTGCTTAGCCTCCTACCCCTGCCCCCTCCCATCCACACACATACGCACTCACTCTGCTCCTGCTGACTCCAATGGGGCTGGGGCAGGTGTGTGTGTGGGGGGGCACATGCCTCAGTGAATGCACTTTTTATTCCGCACCGGGGTGGAAAAGCATGGGCTTGGTTTGGCCTCCACAGAGGTGGAAACTCAGGCCACACGCAGCGATGAAGCTCAAGTTTCTTAAGTCTGTGTTCCTGCAAAACTTCTAGCCCAGTTGCACAGACTATGCTGATGAATCCGGTGTGGACCCGGCTCA